GGGTGCATTGAAATAATTACAGAGTAAAGCGCTCAGAGCCTAGGAGCCAGGGGGCGGGTTTGGATGTAAATTCCCTGCTAGGACGAAGCTTTCCCTTAGCCCTCTCCGCCATGGCAGCGTCCTCCCTCCAGCAGGGATGGGTTAAACCAGGCTCTGTGGAACACAGCCCGAGGAAGGATGGTGGGTCACTGCCTGGGCCGAACCTCGTTGGCATCAGCAGCCACCTAGCTGGGTTGGGGGAGGCACTCGGAGCTTTGCAAGTTGCTGAGTGATGCAGGACACTCCTGGTCTAGCAGCAGCCAACAGGACTTGCAGCTCGAGTGGGGGAGAGCGCGGTTACCCCGTCTCTCGGGTGACTGCACACTGGATCCCAGCGCCTACCAGGGAGGAGGAGAATTGACCGAGATGCTTGTGGCCATTCCAGGTCAGCGGTGGCCGAGCCCACAAAAATGTCCAATATCCCACAAAAAGCATCTCTTGTTCCCGTCCTTTTCTGGTTCTGCCCGATCCCTCGTCTAGACAGCCTCCTCCCCAGAAAAGCTGCAGTGGGGAGGGGCATGTTTAGGAAAACGGATCAGGGTGGCTACCACATGTTGGTTAACCCTGCCCCGCTCCTCATCCTGTGACGTCCCCCACCTCCACCCCGCGGATTGAATGGGATCAGGATCAAACCTTGAGGATACGAACGACCCTTCTGCGGTAGGCGCCTGGGCACTCCCGTTGACAGGGGGCTGGGCTCTGTCCCCAAGCTCTGACACTCTCGGGCTCGACGAGTTTTACTCTTTCTTTTCTACTCTCCGTTATTTGTAACACTGCCTTAGACGTTTGGAAATAAAAGTGTCTTTCCCTAGGGTGCTGGTGTAATGGTTTGGGGGACGGGGTGTGTCTAGGGCTGCGGGCTTGTTCCTAGGCTGCTCATGGGGTGTGTCTGTTTCCCTAGGACTGGCGTGATGACTTTCTGTATGTCAGTCTCCAGGGCTTGTCTGTCCAATCCAGCCCTCGGGCTCCAGTCTGCTAGGTGTTTGTCTCTCCCCCGAGGGGGGAGGGGGGATGTCCATCTGTTTGTCCATCCAGCATGGGTGGGGTGGGGGGGCATTCTGCCCCTTGCAAAGAACACAAACCCCCCCTCAAATTCCAATTAAAATCCAGTGGGAGTTGCTCCTCTGCAAGCCAGGCATAGTGCTTTTAGGTAGGTCCTACATAAACTGTGAAGACTGTTGGGGGTTTTTGTTGTTTTGGTGGCAACAGAGAATAAATGAAAGTCCCTGGTGTCTCACCCATGACCAAAGCACGTCTCGAGCCCAGCAGCCTTTTCCTTCCATCTGTTGGGGCCTCCAGAACGGGCTGCCTGCAGTGTCTTTGGGGGATGTGGCCACCTTTGGAGATGACTGAGACTCGACAAACTCCCTTCCTGCAGGTCACTGGCAGAAGAGCGTGTTCTGTGTCAGGACTAAACCCATCCCCCCCCTTCCCTATCCACTCTCCAGTTTTGGTGTCTGGGTTTGTCCACGGGACTGGGAGTTACTCTGGAATAGCTATACCTGATTAGCATCCTGTGTGGACACTGAGTCTGGATTGAGGGAATTTGTTCTGCTGTAGTTTAATCTGGATTAAGATAAACAGGAAATAAGGCACTCTTCTGCCAGAATCCTTGTCTCTATTTGGGAATAGCTACTGCAATGTAAATTCATGCCCTACCTTAATCTGAATTAACTTTTGAGTGTAGACCAGCCTTCATTCAGTTTGTTCCAGTCTAGCAGCCCAAGACGCTGCACCTCAGTAGCATAACCTCCCTCAGTCCTAACCTCAGCCAGGCCCAGCACAGCACCGGTGTGGGAAACGGACAGCGCCTTGGTATGAGCAAATGAGCCAGGAATCCAATTTGTGTTTAGTTCTTCTAGCTTTTCCGAGGCCCCCTTTGCCAGCCTGTCAGTCACCCTGCGGGAGCCGCTGTTCATCTTCTCTTGCTAGTCTCCATTGGCAGCAAAAGGTGCATTTAAAAAGTCGCTGTTTATGTAGGACCTGCCTAAAAACGATACGTGGTGCTACAGCAACAGTGAACCGTTTCAGGTGTCACTGAGCAACTGACCCCTGGGAGGCAGGACGCCTGGGTTGCATTTCCAACTCTGGGGAGGGGCGTGGGGTGTGGAGAAGGCCTGGGAGTCAGGATGCTGACTCTGCCACTGGCTCCTTGGTCTCCCTGCATCAGGCCACCTCTGGGCTGAGAAAATTAAAGGGGACGGCTGCTTCATTCTTTCCATAACCAAGGGTTTCATCATTTATTTTTTTTAATGACGCTTGTTTCACTTTGGCGGAGTGATTCGGTTCAGCAGAGCTGCAGGGCCTCCCATCGGCTTCTTTCCAGGAAACGAACAGGGCGAGCGCTCGATTCTAGCAGCGTTCAGTCCTACCAGAACCCTCAGCCCCCCCGCATGCCCTTGGGCCAATCACGTAGCTTTTCTGGGTGCCGGCTCCCCATCCATGCAAGGGGGATAACAACACCACCCTGCCTCCTAGGTGCTCTGAGTCCACCCCACTGCGAGCGGGGCCAGATGTGCACATGTGGCTCTGCTAGAAAGTTGTACCACTTTGAACTATGGCCTGGTATAATTAAAGCAGCAAACCCCACCCTGCAGCCAGGGCCCTGCTTGGTCCTACGCTACAGTGATAGACCAGCAAAGCACGTTTACACTGGCAAAACCGCACTTTTACCGGTCTAGCTTGCGCCAGCCCCGCCCAGTGAAATGAGCAACGCTGGTAGAACTGTGTATAGGGTGGGGGTACAGCTCTGTAGCTTGGGGGATCACGCTGCTGCCCACCATAGCTATACCAGCTGAGGTCAGGGTAGCCCTGGCCTTAAAGGGGCAGCTCTCAGCTGGCAGAAGTCTATAGCAGAGGACTTCCAGGGGGTACTCAACTCATCTAGATTCATGTTTCATAGAAGATCAGGGTTGGTAGGGACCTCAGGAGGTCATCTAGTCCAACCCCCTGCTCAAAGCAGGACCAATCCCCAACTTCCCTAAATGGCCCCCTTACGGCTTGAACTCACAACGCTGGGTTGAGCAGGCCAATGCTCAAACCACTGAGCTATCCCTCCCCTCCTCAGCCTTTCTCAGCCTGGGGGTTGCAGCCCCTAGGAGGGTCACGGGATGGGTTTAGGTGGATCGCAAGTGCAGGGCCAGCATTAGCGGGTGGCAAGCAGGGTAATTGCCCGGGGCCCCGCATCACAGGGGGCCCCGCTGCCTGAGGCTCTGACTTCACACAAGGCTCTCACTGAAATGTAAGTACAATATTTCTATTCCAGTCGATGCATTTGATAGAATGATCTGGTCAAAAGGAGAAAGTCAGCAATTGGTCAGTAATGGTGTGGCTGTGACACGCCTGTATTTTTATGTCTGATTTTGTAAGCAAAACTGGGGTGAAACTTGGGGGTACACAAGACAAATCAGACTCCTGAAAGGGGTGCAGTCGTCTGGAAAGCCACTGATCTATAGGGTAGGCCTGGCCCTAGTGGGGATGCAGTTATATGAGGAGAGAGGTGCATTATGCCAGCATAGCTAGTCCTATATGTGAAGAGGGAATCAGCCATACCAGTATAAGGTGCTTTTACACTGGTATACACGGTATGATTTGACCCACTGGGCTGACTAGACTGGTTAAAACAAAATCACCTGATTGACAGTTATGAAGGTAGAAATTTTAATAGTGGCCAGGCCAGAGAGAGGTTCAATTTTCCTGACTCTCTGTTGCCAAAGTCAAGGGATCGAACACCAGGTATCAGGCCTGCAACGATCACAAGCTTGGCTAAACAATCATGAGCTTGTTCAAAAATAATAAATGTGGAGTCTGGCGCCCTGTTCCCCAGGCCCGGGTTTCTGAACTTTGAGGGTTTCCCTCGGGTCACATTCTCAAGCCCAAGGGCTAAAAATTGAGAGCGTGTCTACACAGCAGTGTTTTAGCAGCTGGAGCGCTGGCCTGCTGGGTGACCTTGGGCAAGTCACTGCCTGCTCTGTGCCTCAGTTGCCCCATCTGTAAAATGGGGATGGGAACACTGCCCTCTGTTAGAAAGCACTTTGCGTTCTGCAATAGCAGAGCTTGGTATTATAATTAGAGAGAGAAATACTGGGGTAACCCTGGGTGTGGCCCCTCTTATTTCAGTAGGATGGGGGATGGTGGATTTCACTTAAACCCCTTCCCAAGTGACATTGCTAAGTGGCCCTCTTGCACCAGGATAGGCGTGTCCATGGAGGAGGTTATACCAGTATAACTATATCAGTTTTAAAAAAAATCACATTTTTAGGTGATACTGGAAAACTTTCCCATGTGGACAAAGCCTGTTTTGAAAATGCAAGCCAACGTTCCCCCAGAATCACATGACTCCTGGAGCTGGGACTTGAAGAACATCACAAGAATTGGCAGCACTGCTGATTTCTCAGCCCCAGGCCGGCTGCAGGTCCTGGTATTCCTAGAGTCCAAGGCCAGAAGGGATCATTGTGATCATCTAGGCTAACCTCCCGGATAGTGCAGGCCAGAGCCGTGCCCCAAAACAATTCCTAGGGTAGAGCTTTTAGCAAAACCTCCAGCCTTGATTTAAAAATGGTCTACCCTGCCATGGGGAGGTGTGACTGCAGAGCATGCAGAGGGGATCTAGCCAGCTCACTCCAGTAACAGCAGCAGTGATGCCCGCACCTATTGAAGCACTGCATGGGCGGAGGCCACTCATTAAGTATCCAGGGTCCTGGGAGGGCAGGGCTTGCCCGGGCAGCCACCCATCCCTGCTCTTGTTAGTCAAGGCTCGGGTATGCGATCACATACCCCAGCTGCAGCGTAGATGCACCCTGCTGAGTGCGGCTCGTGGCCGTTTCCGTGATAAAACGGCAGAGGAATGAACCCGATGCCACGGGGCGGACTCATGCTTCCCACCCTCCCTGGCGCACCGCTCCCCACCATTTTCTGCAGGCCAATGGGCTGAGCGGGTTTCTCCGAAGCTGGCAGCCGCCCTACAGGTCTTCCGCCCTGCACAAGGCTAGCAGCGCTGCCTGGTAATCGCCTCTCGTCTCCACCTGGAGCAAGGAAAGGAGAGAGCAATGAGACATTTCCTCCTCCTCTCCAGCCTAAACCTTGACAGCAAGCGCTGGAAGAAAGCAGCGCGGTCTAGTGGTTAGAACAGGAAAGTTGGTGGTGGAGGGTCTGGATTCTAGGCCTGACTCCAAGGAGCAGGCTCCGGTCTTGCTCTCACTCAGCAAGGGGCTGGGAGCCAGGCCTCCTGGGTTCTCGTCCTGGTGCTGGGAGGGAAGTGGGGTCTAGTGGGTAGAGCAGGGAATCTGGAGTCAGGACCACGGGGGTGGGGGGCTTGGTCTAACGGCTCTATGCCCCCGAGTTCTAGGGCATGCTGTTGTTGGGTCTGTCTCCGCCCCCGGGGGCGCAGCGTGCTGACCTGGAGACAGGAGTACAGAGACTTCCCATGGCACTTCTTGAACTCAGAGCGGATGCTCAGCAGGTCCGTTTCACTGCGGGAGATCAGGATGCGGATCAGGACTTTGTCATCGGTGCCAGGGCCCTGGGGGGGAAGGGGAGGTGCATGCTCAGGCTGGGAGATGGAGAAATTCCAGCCGCTAATAGATGGGAAGTGGAACCCCAAGTTCCGGAGGTAGGGGTCACCGTATCCCTGTTAGTCCATACAGCCCAGTATCTGCCCCCGGCCAGCAGACTGATCTAATGCAGCATCGGCACCCTTCCCGCTGGCTAAAGACCCTGCCTGACCCTTGTGACATTCAGAGAACCCCCTGCAGCCTGAACATCACTGCCGGGCTCCCCCAAAAGGAGGCTGGGCCCATACGCTGCCAATGCACCAGCGCGGGTTGAAGGCGACTCACCTTCATGGCGTTGTGCAGCTTCTCGGCGAAGTAGCGCGGGGTGTTCCTGCACACCGAGGCTGAAATGAGAGAGGGGCTCAGGGTTCAAACCATGGCACAGGCTGGCTGGCGTGCAGGGGGCACCGCTGCCCTTTGCTGGGTGGAATCAGAACTGCCCCACTGGGTGTCATAAGCCCTGTACTGTACACAGCGCCTGGGGATTCTCCCATAGTTGACATGACGGGGTGGGGGTTGTTAGAGTAGGATTCTCTGCCCCGGGGTTCGCTGCTGTTGCCTTGCACCATGGTGTCACTTGTCACATCCTAAGGGACCACAGAACTGATACAGACCCACGACTGGGTTTAGTACTGATGTCCTCTGTTCTCCCCCCGCGTCCCCCCCAAGTGCAGGGCTAGCAGGAGGCACAGCCAGCGCCACACTGCCCCGTTCCCAGCGTGCTTCATCCCCCATGACCCCTTCAGTGCTCAGCCACTCAGCGGGGGCTGCCAGCCCGGGGGGGGCTCGCTGGAGACAACACTGCAGCTGGCATCTGCGAGGCGAGCGTCGGCCCGCTAGGAACTGCGCTGACATGGAGGAGCCAGCAGACGGCAGTGCTCCTTAGCAAGCAGGTGGCATTTGTCCCGGTGCCCCGGGGCAGCGATCGTCCATCTTGTCCCTCAAGGCCAGGCAGCTCGGCGCCAGCCCCAAGTCACCTATCGAGCCCAGAACCCTTTGTGCCCACTGCCACGCGCATGCTCGTGTTCTTCTGGGCCTCGAATGGAGCCCAAAGCCTGGCTCTCATGCTTGACGCTGCAGGGTCTGTTTATAACGGGTTAGTAAATAAATGAGTAGCTTGGCCCAGGCTCCCATTACGCTAGGGGCTGTACAAAACCAGTCCCTATCCCACAGAATGTATAACCTACGTGAATCAATTGAGTGTTATAGACGGACTCAAACAAGGTTCTTATAACCATCTATGCCCCCTTCTTCTGGTGGCCGCATAGCCACGCCCACCACCCACTACTCATGTCTATACCGTGCATACCCCGCCCATTCGCCAGGGATTAGCATTTTACAAATGGGGCCCGCACCCGGCGAGTGACGCCATCAGAAAACAGGGAATCTGCAATAGTGACTCCCACTAAATGTTCTCTTCTACCTCTCCGGCCGCCATCCCTGAGCACCTCCCAGGCTGTAGCGGATCGATCCTCCCAACCCGCTGTGAGGCAGGTAAATGCCATGGTCCCCATGGGAAACTGAGGCACAGAGCGACTGGCCCAAGGTCACCCTGGGAGTCTCTAGCAGAGCACCAGTCCCCAGCTGGCACACTAACCCCTGGGCCATCCTGCCTCTCTGGACCGCACTAGGCTGATGGCGCTCTCAGGTTCAGGGAACCCAGCCTCAGCCTGGTTTAGTGCTTACCCAAGGCCAGCATGGCCACCTGGCCATCTCCCCGGAAGCGCTTGAAGATGGTCTCCTCCACCTCCAGCCCGTGGGATTTCTGGTACTGAGCGAACACTACCGGAGTTCGAAAGGGGAGAGTTAGTCCTGGCCTGCACGCGGCGCGCTTTGCCGGGGGGCCGGCCCGGGACTCTGTACCAGCAAAGCGCTCCTGGGGCAGGGAGACACTGCGTGTACCAGCCACACTGCGCTCTTACGGGTAGGGCTTCGCCCTGCCGAGCAAAACGAGTGACATGGGTAAAATACGGCGCTGCTGGCATGACCACATCTACCCTGGGGCCAGGACGCCTCCAGACATTTTTCACATGGTATGCGCCTGCCACCCCCGTCCTGGCTGGCTCCCCCGGGCAGGTACCCACTGCAGCGTCCCTTGCTTGTAGCAGGTCTCCAGGCTGTTGCTGAGCGAGTCCTGAGGGCAGAGCAGAGGGGACATGGGCCAATGGAGGCTGGGCAGCCCCCCAGTGGGGAGCCGTGGTACAGGAGCCGGCCCCACGGCAGTGGTAAGGAGGTGCAGTGCTGGCCACCCCATTGACCATGGGTCAGACCTAAGCAGCACTCGGACCCCATGCATCAGTCATGACACCGCTCACTCAGACTTGGCCCGACCAGCACCCTTGTCATGACCGGGGGGCCACAGGTCCACACCTGAGTGGACAGTGAGGTGGCCACTGCCGCTTCTCCTCTGCTGCCATGGGGCTGGCTCCTGTAGGGCTTCCCCCCAGGGCCCTGCCCAGCCGCACCCTGCTTCCAGGAGTCCATTGATTTAGTTGGGGATTGGTCCTGCTTTGAGCAGGGGGTTGGACTAGATACCTCCTGAGGTCCCTTCCAACCCTGATATTCTATGATTCAATTTTCAGGGGTACCCCTGAGTCGGGCCACATGGACACACAGAGAGAAGGGCCCCGACTCCCTGTGCCAGCTCCCAGCTGTGTGCGATGCCAGGGGCTCCCTGCAGCAGGGCGTCCGGGCCTTGCCTCTGCTGAGATGCTCAGGGCTTCGCTGCGTGAAGATGCTTATCCACGTCCTCTCACCGGCCCCCTCGCCCCTGGCTCCTGGGTCTGCAAGAGCCTGGAAGGAGGAGGAGAGCGGTGACGGGCTGCGGGTGCTGCGAGAAGTGGCTCCCCCCCCAACCCAGGGGGCTTCCCCATTAGCCTGGAATTAACCCCACTGTGTTCTGGGATGCAGCAAGATGGGACCGGGGGCACCTATTCCAGAGCCATAACCAGGCAGCCCTGAGCAAAGCTTGGCTTCGCTGGGGAAGCTCGGACCTGAGGCACGCAGGGGGCATGTGATCCAGCAGCACTGGGACGAACAGGTGCAACGGGCAGGGACAGCCGCCCATTGGCGCCGATCGTGTCACACCGGCGGCATGTGGCTGGTGTACAGCAAGGTGCAGTACTGACGGCTGCCACTGGAGGGCTCCTTGGCCTCCTTTGGTCTAAAAGCAACCCCGCCCCAAGGCAGCTCTCTAGGGTAACTGAGCAGGATCCATGGGGACCCCCTGAGGCAGGGAATCAGTCCAGCAGTAGGATTTCAACAACTCACCCCCCCACCTCGGGCACATCCCCAGGCTCACCTCGGCATCCTGCTGTATCAGGGCATAGTCGATGATCCCGGTGTAGTGCTCGCGCTTCCCCTGCAGGGTAGAAGGCCAGAGAGACGGATTTGTGACATGGTCAGAGCTGGCGTCCCTCGCCCCACAACCTGCCTAACGGTATGTCCGCTCGCAGTTACAGTATTCAGCCACTAGAGGACCCTTGGGTGGGCGGTGTGGAGGAGGCAGAGAGTGGCTGTCTGGTAAATAACAGAAACAAAGCTGGGTCTCAAGCTGGGTGGAAGCTTGTCTGTTTGCCAGTAGCTGTATGTCCCACGATGCCCACAGATACTGAGGGAAGGGAGTGTTGGAGATGATAAAGTAGATGGGTGAGGGCTCAGGCCCCCCGCCCCTTGCTTTGCTGGTTCCTGTGGCTGAACCGTGGTCCCCAGTGTACGTGCCCATTCAGGTCCTGCGGAAAAGGAACCAGGCAAAGTCGTACCTTTGCTAGCGCCAGGAGAATTTCCTTGAACCAACCGCTGGTTTCCGAGGCTATGTCCTTTTCAGGGTCTGCTTTAAAATCTGGAGACAGAGAAACCACCCTGGTTAAAGGGGAATTCAGCTCAGTGGCTTGCATGGGTAACACCGCCGCCAGCTAGAATATAGGCAGGGATCAAACTAAGAGACCTCTGGATCTAAAAGCAGCAACCTCTTCTGCTTGAGTGAAAGGAGCACCCCTGGTAGGCTAGCCACAGAAGCCTGTATATATACTCTAGCGTTGGGGTGGCGGGACACAAAGCTACCTTAATGTGCTACCACATAGGACTGGTCCAAAATTTTTCATTGAAACTGTTTTTTGACAGAAAATTGGGGGGTTGACTAAAAAAAAAATAATAATCACAAGACATATCTGCTCCCCCACAGAAACGTTTCATTTTTCATTGAAAAGCAGAATGCCCCAAAACTGAACTCTTTCAATTAGGAAATGCTATTGCAGTGCCTCGCGGGAGTTGTAGTCCAGGTGCCTCATGCTCCCCATGTTCCTCTCTTGGGCTAGGCTCCCTGGCTGGACTACATTTCCCATGATGCATCATGGCCAGTGATTCCCATGATGCACCACCTTCCCCACCAAAAGGGGAGAGCACGGTCCATCATGGGAGATGTAGTCCAAGCAAGGAGCCTGGCTGATAGATGACAAAATGATTTCCCTCCCCCTCCCGCCATTTTCATTGAAATTTCCCACGAAAAAGAATCCAGCCGGCTCTAGAGACACACGGTTCCAAATATCCTCAGAGTAACAGGGCCCTTTCTCCCGAGCTCAGACAGCGCTAACCTGGGGCTCCCCTCACAGCCCCTGGCCTTCCCCGCCCCCACTTTTACCTTGCTGGTAAAAGGCCAGGCTTTCTCTGAGCTGCTGGTTGGATCGAGTGGAGAGAATTTCAGTCAAAGCATCTTCGTCAGTGCCTATGCCCTGTGAAAGCAAAGGGCACAGAGCGGGTACAGGAGTGGCTGGCACAGGAGTGGCTGGCACGGCTAAGGGATGAGGACGAGCCCGCTGCTGGCTGCACTGGAATAGGGGGCGGATAGAGCCAGCCCGAAGGGGAAGCACTAAGCCAGGAGCAGGGATGGGCGGCCCTGTGGGCAGTGACGCTGCTTTGTGGCAAGCTAGCCCTCGGGACGGGGACGGCATTTGCTGCCTGTTATCATGTCCCCCTTCTAACCTCTCCGTACAGCTCCTGCCACCCTCCTTGTCTGTGCTGCTCTTCTCAGACCTCCCTCCAAGGTGTCACCCCAGAGCGGCAGGATACCTGGGTTCTATGCCCACGGACCAGCTGGGTGAGCTTGAGCAAGTCCTTTCCGCTCGCAGTGCCTCAGTTTCCCCTCCAACTCTTCGTCTGGTCTGTTCTGACTGTGAGCTGTTTGGGGCAGGGACTGTCTCCCTTTGTGTCTATGCAGCGCCCGGCGCCATGGGGCCTCTACACATCATATATGATAATATCACATCCCAGCGCCTTGACTTGGCCAGTCCAAAACCCCCTTGAGCTTTTCTGCTGCTATATCCCCTTTGCAAGCCCCTCACTCACTGCCCCCTCCCCAACTCTTCCTGCTCCTCGGACCCCTCCCACTGACCGGATGAATTTGTCGAATCTCCTCTGGGTATTTTCCACCTGTGTTTATAATCTCTCTGGCGGGCCCCTCGCTGCTGGACGCGACCAGGCACAGAATCGGGAGCAGGGCCACGTGCACCCCACAGGCCTCCCAAGGGGGAGCTGCGTCCCCAGGCCGTACCTGCATGGCCGCCCTCAGCTCGTGAGCATCGTACTGAGCCGGCGGCTTCAGCAGCCCCATGATGACCTGCTCCAGGTTCCCAGACAGAGCCACTTCCATGGATTTCAGCAGGTCCTGGAAGAGAGCCCCGGAAGGGTCAGAGCTGAGGCCAAGCAGCAGCCTAGCTCCAGGCCCCAACTCCCCTGAGACAGGAGGCTTCATGCATTTGGGGGTCCCCCTGGCTGTTCCCTTCCTCAGGGCCCTGCGAATGGTCACCCCAAGTGGGCTGGTCTAGCAGTTGGAGCATGAAACTAGCCAGGACTCCTGGGTTCTGGGAGGGTGTGTGGTCCAGGGGGTACAGCAAGAGACAGCAGGTCAGGATTCCTGGGCTGTATTCACGGTTCTGCCACTGACTCGCTGGGTAACCTCAGCACAGCCTCAGTTTCCTCATTTGTTAAGTGAAGAGAGTAAGGGCTCCCATACAGCGGAGCTACAAGGGTTAATAAATATTACTTGCACAGAGTTTCAGATGGAAGCCTCTAGAGAAAGGAAAAGGGTTGCATTGAGGTGGCCGGTGTCTCTGGGTGCACCGCTGCCCCCTAGTGGAGAGATTTGGTAATGTGTCATAAGCCCTATACTGCCCACAGCTAATGGAGATTCTCCGTTGGCGCAAGTGCTGGGGCCTGGGCTATGGCTATAGGAGGATCAGAGCAGTTGCACTGAGGATCGCAATGGCTCGTTGTGCAGCGTAGAGGCAACCAGGATGTGTTGGGTTATTAATATGACGGGGTGGGGGTTGAACCCAAAGGAGCATGGGGACACAGAAAGGAGCCCGCTGAGCGGCTGCTGTGTCTTCCGCACGGCTGGTGCATTGCCAAATGCCCGGCACATGGCCCCACCTTGTGCACTAGGGCATGTCTCTGCAGGGCAGACAGACTCCAGTGCCTGAGACCGGCCCCAAGCGGACACCATCACTGCTGCTGAGAGCCCAGCCCAGCGCCCCCCGGGGCCCTTCCCATCACCTGCTTGGTGAGGGCCTGGAACCCCTTGGTGATGTGCTGCCTCTGGGCGCTGGTCCGATTGGTCAGCACATCCAGGATGGCCCCATGGTCAGCGCCTGTAGCAAGGGGGCAGGAAAACTGGGTGTGAATATTCAACTGGCTGCCGGGATCCCCTCCCCGCACGCCTCCATGGTGGGATCGTGTTACCATTGCCCGCGATGGCCTCTACCAGGTGCTGTACGTCGCTCTCCGCGTCGAAGCCCAGATAGGGTTTGATGGTGCCCAGCGTCCCCCAGGCTGCTGTCTATGGCAAGAGTAGAGACGGTTAAGCGGGTAGTTGTTATTGAAACTCATATATGGAACTTGCTGCTGTGTGACATTGTTGAGGTGAGCCTGTGGGACTCCCTGTCACGGGATATCGGTGGGGTTAACCCAGGGGATTCACTGCTGCTAGATATTAACATGATTAGCTTGTAGGGCCTCTCTGCCCCAGGTTATTATTGAAGTTAATTCATGGGACTCCCTGCGACTGGATATTACTCAGTTTAACCTGTGGGACCCACTGCCATTGGATAGTACTGGGGTTAATCTGTGGGACTCACTGCAGTGGGATATTACTGAGGATAACCTGTGGGACTCCCTGCCACTAGATATTATTATGAGAGTTAACTCATGGAATTCACTGCTACTGGAAATGATTTAACCTGTGGAACTCACTGTCATTGGGTATTACTAGGATTAACTTGTGGGACTTCTGCCATTATGGAAGGTAACCTGTGGGACTCCCTGCGACTTGATATTAGTGGGGCATACCTGTGGGACTCCATGCTGCTGGCTATCACTGGGGTTAACCCAATGGAAACCCAAATCATCCACTGTGGTGCTGTGAGTGCCCCCAAATCACCCCCTCACAGTGCCCAGGGTGATCCCCAAATCTCCACCCCCCACTTGCTAGGGTGAAACGCTCACCATGGTGCCCAAGACCATCCTTAAAATACCCATGATGCCTACAGAGACCCCCCGAAACACCCTTCCACCCATGCCCCACGATGCCCAGGGCAGGGATGCCCATGGTGCCCCCCTCCTCCCACGCTCCGTGGCACCACTCACCTGCTGGGCCAGGGGCAGCTGGCTGAGAATCTCGTGGGCGAGGGAACGTCTGTCCATCCCGTCCCCCAGGAGCATCGCGTTGTCTTTGCCAGCAGACAGCTCTGAAAGGCAGAGAGGGGAGGGGGTGAGGCCCCCCACGGGGAAACGTAACTGTCCCCCCGGCATCCCAAAACAGCCGCCTTCAACAGGCCCGGTCATAGGCCTGATTTCCTCAAGCCTGATCCGATTGGGGTAGGAGGGCTAGTTCCCTGCCCCGGTCCAGGCCTCCTGCCAGCTCCCTGCTCCTTTGCCGGCCCTCGGGGACAGAGGACGGAGAACTGCGGGGCGCGTGCGAATTCAAAGGGGACGGATTGAGAGCCCTGGAGGCCACCTTATCTACCCAGCTTGGACAGCGGCAGAGCAAGCTTCCACTGCATAGTGCCCCTGCTCATGGGGTGTGTCCCCCAGCGCTGCCCTGGAGGGGATTAAGTGCACCCCAGTGGGAAAGGCACTGACCAGAGAGCCACGTGGGAGACAGGACACCTGGGTTCTATTCCGCTATCTGCTGTAAGACTCTTGGCAGGTGTTCTGTGCCTCAGTTTCCCCTTCTACCCTTAGCTGCCTGCTCTATTTAGACTGTGAGCTACTCGGGGCTGGGGGGCGGGGAGCAAAAGGGGCCCTTTGCCCTGGGCCTCCCATTTTAGAGGGCCCCGTAAGCGGAGTGGTGCTGCAACCCCATGCACTAGGTTGCAATGCCCAGAGTGGGGAGCCAGCCCTGTGGGACAGTAGCCACCACTGCTGGGCGAGTGCAGGGCAGACCTCTCCCGCCACCCAGGGCCTCCCCCCAGGGATAATATTTTTGGAAGGGTGGGGAGCCTCTCTTTCAGATTTTGTCTCAGGCTCCCCAAAACCTCTGTGCACCCTGCAGGGACTGTCTCTCAGGTGTGTCTGGGCAGCACCCGGCATGATGGGGCCCAGGGCCGGCTCCAGGCACCAGCCGAGCAAGCTCATGCTTGGGACGGCAGATTCTGAGGGGCGGCATTCCGCCCAATCGTAGAGTGGCACGGACGCCCTTTTTTTGTTTTGTTTATTTTTGGTTTTGGTTCGCTGCTCCGGCCGCCCTGCGCCCTGGTGTTTTTTGTTTGTTTGTTTGTTTTTCTTTTGTTTCACCGACGACTTTCAGCGCGCCACGGAGGAGGGGAGCACCCTGCTGGGAGCGGGCTGCGCACTCCGTCTGCCCCAGCCGGTGCCAGGTCTGCAGCAAGCCCAGCAGGGCAGCCCGCGTCCTTCCCTCCCCGCCGACCGCCGACTTTCAATTCACTTGCAGGCGGGAGCGGCCCGGAGCCCTCCCGGCAGGCGGCGCGGCGGGAGGGGCCGAGTGGCGAGCGCCCCGGCTGAAGAAAGCCCTGGCCGCCCCCCTTCTCTCCTCCCCCCCGCTAGCCGGGGGGCGCACTCCGCTGCCCGGGGCATGTCTGCAGCGCAGGGAGTCCCGCTAGCCAGAGTGCAGCCGCCGCCCGCCCAGAGGCTCGCCAGCGCAGCCGGGGGAGGCAGCCGCGAGCTGCCAAGTAAGTGGCACCGAAAGTTTGCACCCTGTTTTTTTTGTTTGGTTCGCCGCTCCGGCCTCCCTGCACCCTGGTTGTGGGTATTTTTTGTTTTTGTTTTTTTTGCTTGGGGCGGCAAAAAAGCCAGAGCCGGCCCTGATGGGGCCCTGATCACGGTTACTCTGTGTCTGGGCAGCACCCAGCACACCAATGTTCAGGCTCCTACAGCTTCGGTCATTGGCTGGAGCTCCATTGATTTCAACATAGCACTGCTCATGGACAACAGCTGGGGGCCTGGCCTGCACGTCTGCCGCTGACACACACTTCCCTGCGGTGAGGTTTTCCCTGAGCTAAAGGGTGTGGATCCAGTTTTGCCAACGTAACCGATGGGTGTGCGCTCTCGTCCCTCTCTGTGCTGGAGGCGAGAGGTGACAGCTCCAGCCACAGAGTGTTGGCGCTTTCGCCCAATTCGTCACAGCTCCTGCTTTTGACGGCGGAGGGCCCTGGCGTGTCAGCCCAGCTGTCAATCAGGCAGACGGGGATCGTGGCGTTTGAAGGGAATTTGTTCATTGCGGATGGGGCTTTAAAAGCCACCTCCAAAGGGGCGAAATAAACGAGGCCCGTGCTAGCAATCCAGGCCGCGTGTCTGGGGTGAGGCGAGACCGCTTTGTCTCGAGATCCAACCAGCTCTTCAGTGCAGCCAGAGCCTTTCCACAACTGCCTCCCCTAGGGCTGGCCTCCCTCAGCACCAGCCAGCCCCAAACCTCTTGCTTTCCAGGCCCCCTCGCCAGCCTCTCTTTCTCAAACCGCACGCGGCTGGGGGATGGGAGGGCGCAGTCCGTGACACATGCCTTGGACAGGCGCCAAGGGGAACTGAGACCCACGGGGGCTTTTATGCGGACTATTTCGAGGCTCCGGGTTGCTTTTTAACTCAAACATCTTGGGAGGAAAGCCAGTTCGAGATGCCCCGAGCTCTTTGCAGGTCGCCTCTCCCGGCCTGGCCTTTAGCGCGGAGCTGGAGCCTTTGCCACCAGCCCGGAGATGGCCTCCTTCTCTGGCTCCCTCCTCCATCTCCCGGCTGTGCTTGCTCGTGACCGCGGCCCAGCGAGCCGCCAGGCAGAACTAACTTGTTTAGTCTATTGCGAGCGGGGAGCTGAGATTCTAATCTGGTCTGCGGGGAGTCTGGCGCAGGAGATGGCGGGGGAGTACACTGGGGAGCCTTGCATGGGAGAGAGAGCCTTTCACAGCACGCCCGGGGGAGCGTTGCTCTGGGGATCGCGACATTGGGGGGCTGCACGCGCTCCTTCTTCTCCGTGCCCAGTGCCCCTGCCCCACTCTGTACCCCTCTCCCTCTTCGCTGCAGCCCCATTGGGACACGGGGATCCCTTACTGGTGTGAAGCCCTGGGAGTGGCAGACATCAAAAGCAGGAGTCCCCCTAAAGTGTAAGGCAGATTGGCCAGTTAGTGGGGCTCCCTCTCCCCCCTGCTTCTCAAGCACTATTTGAGGTTAAGCTCCCTGTGGAAATGCTAAGAATTATTATGAATTAATGAATCCACCCTGTGGGAAGCCGGTAGATGTATGCGTCTGTCCAGCTAATCCCCGTTGGGATCTAGGTACTGGACACGCTCTTGATCATCGGCTGCGGATCCACCCCTGTTAATTAGCATCATCCTCATTCCACAGATGGGGGAACTGAGGCGCAGAGGGAGAAAGTGAGTGGGCCAAGGCCATGGAGGGAGTCAGTGGTGGAGCTGAGACTCGCTCGCAGGAGTCCTGACTCCCAGTTCCCTGCCCTCACCACTGGAACACACTCTCCTTCCAGAGCTGGGAAGGGAACCCAGGTGTCCTGACTCCCCCCCCCCCGCTCTAACCACTAGACCCCACTCCCCTCCTAGACCCAGGAAAGGAACCCAGGGGTCCTGACTTCCTGTGTTGTACCCATTAGATCACCCTCCCTCCGGTAGATAACGCTCTTCGTTTGCAACCCAGCTGGTTTCCCAGGGGCCTAGCCAGCAGAAGAGCCGGATTTCCCAGAGACCGAGATAGACCTGACGAGGCTGCACTTACCCTGAGCCGCGCTAGACAGAGTCCGGATCAGTGCACGCTATGACCCGACCAGTGTGTGTGCTCGGCTGGTGCAGGGCGGGGGCAGGACTAAAGTAATCTGATTGGCTGAGGTCCACACAACTGGTGGGTGTGTATCATCTGTCCCACCCCCACCCCACCCCCGAACAAACACCCTTCTGTGCAGGTGTGGGGACGAGGGGGGGCATAGAAAGAACCCTCCACCCCATAACCCACCCAGAAGCAGCCATGGCAACCCACACATACAGCCTGCCCATCCTCCCAGCAGCAGGATCTTTCAGGACACTGGCTGCATTGTATTGCGCAGTCCTCGGCTTGACGTGACATCCACCGCCAGCCAGTACCCGCTGGGGCAGCGGGCACTGGAGGGATGCCCCTCCCCGGGGGGAGCAGTCATTGGGCAGGGAGCTGCTGGCGAGAAGTGCAAAGAAAAACCTGTCCAGCGTGTCGCTCCAGAGCTGGGGTGGGTGGGAGCAGAAGTCAGATGGTTCTCAGCTTGGCTTGTGCACCGTGCCAAGCTTCGCTCCTGCTGGGGGATGCCAGACGGGCCGTGCCCCAAGGGGAGCACTGGGGTGAGCGGCTCTGGTTTTTCTGATCGGTTGTGACCGACCGTGGGTTTCTTAGTGGGGAGGCAGCGAGTTGACTTGCTACAGCATGACCTGGGGACGGGTTCCCATCGGGAAGCCAGAGAGGGGGAACAAGTGGGGTTGGCAAGAGGCCAGGCCTACCAGCGCAGATCATTCAGTGGAGAAGACGGGTGGCGGAGGGGTTAGTGTACTAGCCTGCCCGTAGCGAGACCTGCTTTCAACTCCCCCCGCTGCCTCTAAGACCTTGGGCAAATCAATCAGGCCCAGATCCTCAAGGATATTTAGGTAACTAACTACCCCTGAAATCTGGGACTTAGGCCAGGTCTACACTGCAGACCTATATCGGTGTAACTATGTCGCTCAGGGGTCACGTCTAGCTGTGGGTGGAGCCTGGGATTTGGGGGCGGAGTTAGATTCCCAGCCTGCCCTCCTGGAAAAGGCCTCTTGGCCTGGAAGGTTCTCAAGGCAGAACGACCTACCCCTCCATATACACAGTGCGTGGCATGGAAAGGGAGTCTCTGGGAGGTTAAAGAGGGGAAACTGGGCAGAGGAGTGCGGATTGTAGGATCATTGGGGGCTAAGCCACTGATATACAGTGGGGTGCAAACACCACCTGCTGCCACTGAAGGTCTGGTAGGGCTGGAGCAGCTGCAGTAGACCCAGCTGCCACCAGAGAATGCCAGAAGGAGACAGCACAGAGCATGGATTTTAGGGTTCAACGGGACCATTGGAATTCAGCCCCACACACTCAGAGCCCTGTGCCTCCGTCCCCCCTGGATCCTGCAGCCGCACCGGTTCAGCAGCAGCTGCCGCTGCCTCTTAGCAAGCAAAAGCTGGTGTCGGCTGGATCCGTCTAGGTGGCCAGCGGTGCGTTTGTTGCATAAACCCCCACACCTGCGTGTGCTGGGCTGAAAACGCGGGGGTGTCTCTCAGCTGTCTGGAGCTGCATCTAGGGGTGCACTGAGCCAGACGGTCTGACGCCGAGCCTCCTAGGCCCAGCGCTTCCAGCTCAGGGGAGTGAGATATGGAGCCGCTCGGCTCTAGGGTACAAATTGCAAACGTCCCAGCCAGTGGCCGTTGGGTGGCCTGCATGCAATGAGCCAGGTGGGATGGGGAAAGCTTGCCCCGGCCATCCCCATGCCGGGCTTGTTCTGTGGCTGGAGAGGGGATTTCAGCCTCCTGAGGCCCTGTCCATCAAGCCAGCAGGAAAAAGCTGGATGGGGTGGGGGAGATCTCGGTGACTGGCGTCTTCTTTCAGGCATCTGTCCACGCACAGTTCCTCTGGGTGGCGTCCACAGACTCCCTTTTGGGGCAGCAGGCACAGTCTGGGGTGCTCCGCTCGGTGTCCCCTTCTGGGTCCCTCATTTTGACCCTATTACTGTACCCTCATCCCTCTGCTAATTTTTTGTCCCCCATGCTCAGTTGTCATCTGGGTCCTGTGGCCCCGCCTACACCTGAGGAAGACAGGGCCTTTTGGTCCAGTGGGCCCTGCCCACCATCTCAGTCATCAAACAGGCTGGGGAGAGCTGATGGCCTTGTGATATGACCCTGGGCTAGGGGACTGGGGTTTGATTCCCTGTTCTGCCATAGACTCCCTGGGTGAGGTCCTTAACTGCTCTGTGCCTCAGTTTCCCACCTGTAAAATGGGGATGGTATTTCCCCAGCTCCCAGGCGGAATTCACTTCTCTTTATTCCCCATCTGGGGTTAAACAGAAGCAGGAAGGAACCTGGGCCATTTTTCCGACCTCCCAGGAAGGAGCCCGGAGGCCCTGGGTGACTCAGCCGGCCCCCTTGCTGCCAGACTGCATTCCGAGCAGAATTTCCTTCCTTGTCGAACAAGATCAAACAATTCCTGCCTCGGAGGAGAACGGGGAATAAGTAACAAAACCATTGATGAGGGCGGATCAGATGGGCCCAGAGCCCCGCGTGTACAACACGGCAAAGGTTTCCGTGCCTGCCAGCACCTGACTCCTGGCTCTGACGCCCGGAGTGCTGCGGGGCAGTCACTGCTGGAGGGCAGAGAGCAAAGTCCAGGGCTGGGTCCCAAAGCTCTCGCTGAGGGGGGGGTTTGGAGCTGGGGTTGGGAACTCGGAAGCCCCCCCAAAGTTAGAGGGGATAAATCTTGGGTGTGGGGTTCATCTCTGCATTCGGGGTGAGGAATCTTATCTTAGCCCTACACATGCCTGTCTGCCTAGCTAGGGCTTGGATGTGCCGCCCATCCCCGTGGCATCTGACTCCCCAGCCGAAGGCGCCCCCCAGCTCTTTTGTCCCAAACGGTATTTGCTGCTGTCAAGCCTCCTCTGAACTCTTCTGTTGGGATCTGCTCTCCCTTCCCAGCCTCTTTGCCCCCAATCCCCGAGGCCACCCCACAACTGAGCAGAGCCTCCTCCCCAGCCCACCTGCCGCAGCCCTACAAAGAGCCCCGCCTCCCCCGCTTCCCTGGCCCGACTCCCCACTTATTCCCCCCAGCCTCAGCCCTTTCCCTCCCCTGCACCTCCTCACCCCTCTGCACCTGTCTCCTTCCTCCCACCGCTGCCCCCCACATGCCTTGTCTCCCCGCTCTCCTGAGCAATGCTTTCCCCTCCTGGAGAAGGGCTGTGTTGCAGCTGCTCAGGTCCAGGTGAGCCAGCCTGCCCCGTGGGGAGAGGGAAGGGGCAGGAAGCCTTGGCTGCCCGCTTAGCACCCATGGTAGCCGGGAAGCCGGGCACGTGCCCCCCAGCCCAGTTGGGGAACAACACTGCAGCTGGGCTGAGTGTCAGGCAAGTGCAGGGGGCAGGGTTAAGGCTGACACTACCTGTCCTGGCAGGTGGGCACTGCTGTGCCCTTGGGATTTGGTGTGTGTGTGTGTGTGTCCATGCGTGTGTGCGTGTGCGTGCAGGGCCGGCCCTAGACCATAT